AAAGCACTGAAAAGGAAGTGAGCAAGGTAATATTTTAAGCAAGGGTTAAAGCACTGAAAAGGAAGTGAGCAAGGTAATATTTTAAGCAAGGGTTAAAGCATTGAAAAGGAAGTGAGCAAGGTAATATTTTAAGCAAGAGTTAAAACATTGAAAAGGAAGTGAGCAAGGTAATATTTTAAGCAAGGGTTAAAGCATTGAAAAGGAAGTGAGCAAGGTAATATTTTAAGCAAGGGTTAAAGCATTGAGAAGGAAGTGAGCAAGGTAATATTTTAAGCAAGGGTTAAAGCATTGAGAAGGAAATGAGCAAGGTAATATTTTAAGCAAGGGTTAAAGCATTGAAAAGAAAGTGAGCAAGGTAATATTTTAAGCAAGGGTTAAATCAGTGAGAAGGAAGTGAGCAAGGGTTTCAAAAAGGATTTTTCTTATGAGGAAGATTGGCAGAAAAAGATGCAAAACAGGAAAGCGAAGGCTGCCAGCAAGACCGCGCTTAAAACATTGATACTAAGTCATGTACTCTTTAATTACAGATCACTAGTAAATGTTGTTTTACCTGAATAACACGTCGCCATCTTTATAGATTCTCGTGGACTTTGGCAAGCACTTATCACCATATGTGTGACATTTCGACGCTGAAGTCAAACGCTGAGTACTCATATCGTATATTTACAGGTGGTGGCTCCCTCTAAGATCTCTGGCATTCAGCACTTCTCACTTCTCGTTTAATTGTGGCTTCGACGTTTAACCTGAAAAACACGGATTAGGGATTTTATTGACAATTCGGGACCTTTTTTTCTAATCGTTTTTGCAGTTTCACGTGAAGTATGACTAACTGGTAGATGCAATGATTTTCCTTATTTGCACCAGTGACAAGCTTACTAGTCTTCTGACATTTAAAGAAGCAGCTGAGTGGTGTTTCTGTCATATCGAAGCATCAATAAAGGTACGGTTTACAGTAATTATGGTACGTATTAAGACTTGTATTATATGACCACTTATATTACTAACATTCCGAAATCTTGTGATTAGTTTTAGTCTCAGACGTTCAGCAAAATATTTCAATGCATCAAACGTGCATTATCTTTTAGAAGATGCTTTAACATTTTTCGTATCTCTAGTATAGAAGATTTATTTGAATGTAAAAAGCTTTACCATGTCAATTTGGCACTCTTCAGAATCTTGAATAGGACACATATTGGAGGGCTCATTTTACCAAAAGAATTTAATAATACGCACTTTTACGCTTTGCTCTCTTTTCAGAGCCTGACAGCCCAACTAATCTACTATATTTTAAGACTTTGAGAAGAAAACCTAAGACGTGAAAAATATGTTTATAGTTGCATTTTGCCTTTTTAACATAGCATGGCCTGGTGACCAGGGTATTGGGTTGAGGATCCCAGAGTCTCGAGCTAAAGACGTGGTGTTACCAAATACGCTTCGCACAGTGAGCTGTGGGTACGTTGAAAGAGTAACAGTCAGTCCTGTCATTTGGTTAAGAGTAGCTTCTGACTGGTTGCCTTTCCTCTGGTCTGTAGTTCAATATTAGAAATGACTATGCTTAAACTATTGATGGTCCTCAATCCTGGCCGTTTAGCTCCTTTTCTTTGTCTCCCAGTGACTCAGAGGTACGTTTGCAAGCTTATGACGGTAAAAATCGGGTTTTGATACCCGTGGTGGGCAGAACCAAGCTTATTTTGTGGACAAAGTTTGTTCCAATGAATAAATAAATATTTGTTCTTTTATTATTCTTAAGTTTGTTTAACGCAAACTGAAGTTTATTACTAGACATTTTTATAACCTTAAATAAAAGAACGACCTATATCTCCAGAATGTAACTTTATTAGCTCAATATTTCGCTATTACAGTTTCGTAAAGAGCTATCAATTTCTTAGCAGTTCACTAATCTAGTTCAATCTAACTTGGAACAGCATTAACATTAAATCGAACATTAATACACGTGTTTAGAAAGTTCAGGTCATATTAAAATAATATCAAAAATTCTTGAGTTTAAATTGTTGAAGCAAATCAAACTAACAATGCTAAATAAATAATATGGGTAAACAAACAGGTAAACTATTAAAATTATTGGATTGAGAAGAGGATGCATTACATATATTAATACTCTCTTCATATTTGTATCTGTAAGTAATATTTCACCTTATTAACATACACAAAATAATGTCTGAAATATCTTTCAACCCTTATGAGTTTGTATAGAGACTTCGTCAAAGTACAACATATTAAAATCATAAGAATGCTACTAACGTCACTACATTAAAGGCCAACCTTTATATTTGTTCTTTTTTTTCTTGATGAAAATCGATTCTTTAACTTTTCGGTCTAGAAAACTATGACATTTAGATAAGATCTTGACATCCGATAAGATGTTATCCGTTTGTATTATGTCATGTTATTTTCCATATTGTTCCGCAATAACATTGTTAGTACTGAGGTTTTGGATGTCACACACACATGTTCAGATATTCGATCATGTATGGGTCGGAAAATTTCTCCTATATACGTACTGGATCGTCTGTCACGAGTTACTTCATACACAACGTTCTTACTATGACATCGACCATGTAGTTCATATTTAGCGGCTTTATAATTATTATTCATACATCGTGTTTCTTTCTTGTACGCTGAACTTATTGTTAATGAATTTTTAATAGGTAAGTCTGATTTGTCGATAGTGTGTCTTTCTGCAAAAGAAAAAAAAACCCTGCAGGATACATTTGTTAACGTTATTAACAGGAGTGATAGTTTAGCGATCTTCCACCTTCTGTAGCTCGGACTATGGTAATCCCAACTATCACATATTTTTAGTGAGTGTGTTCTACTGGACTCTTACTTCACATACCATATTTCAAGGCAATCCAAAGAAATACCTGAAATATAACATCTCCAAATTTGATTGAGTTTCTTCCTATTTTTTTTTATCTTCGCATTAAAAGTATGGAAACTTTATTTGATAGAAAAATATATTTAACTTTTATGGATTTTTCTTCAAATTTCGTACACTGATAGATCTTTACAACCTACAATTAGGAGTCTCATTTAGTCCAAATATAAGCCACATGTGCAAATTTATTCAACAAAAACCGTTCAAATTTATCGAAAAATGTTTGCGCATCACTACTCAAAAAGTCACGTGAGCTATCGATCTAACATTTTTACTACAGCTTCACCTAACAGTAAAAGTGAACGGTTTTTAGTGTTTTTTTTTGTCATTCGGATTAAAGACGACTGATTTAGAGTAGCAAAACTATTAGGTGAAAGGACGTGTAGATGCAAAGTATTGGTTAGGCAAAGCAAACTAGATTAGTAGTTTCTAGCTCAAGTTTTCAAAAGAATAATACGGGTGGATGGTTATTGCTGATTATTCATTGCCAACTTTTCAGCACAAATTTACTAAATTTTATGAAATTATCCTAATTAAAGAGCGTTTAGTGTCACGTAATATTAGCTTAAGCAATTAACACAAATAATAAGACGGCTGTACCAATTGCATGGGGGTAATGACAAAAAGCTGTTAATCTAAATTCCATGGCGTTAGTCAGAGAAGAAAAACTACCACCATGTATTTTAAAGAATCTGATTAGTTCTGTAAAGTAAATGTCTATTCCGAATAATAGGGATGCAACCCTAAGGCTAATGTTAGTTACTATCAAGTGTCATTTTCTAATTTGATGTGGTTTGTTGGTGTGTATTGACAAAAAGTCATATATCTAATCAATTATACTTAGGTTTGAAAAAAAAAAGGTGCGGCTAAAAAAAGATTCAGTGTGCAATTTAAAGGAATGAACTCAAAATAGGCGACCAAACTGGTCCTACACTTATAGAACTAATAAAAATTTTATAGTAAATATTCATTCATTAGTTAACTAGACGTCGTATTTTATTTTACCCATCATTATGCCCAAAGTTGAACAAAAAGTGCGGCATGGCTAATTAATGGATGAATATTTGCTGTAAAATTATTATCAATATTATAAGTTGTAACGAATTTATTATTATGTATTTATTTTTAATATGGACGTTGTTTGGATTGAATTTGTAATCAGAAATAGGCGTATTATCAGATATGTATTGTGTATGACGAATTTGTGATCTATTTATTTTAATGTCACCATTTGTTTCGAATAAGTTTATATTTGAGGACGTGTCTAGCTTACCGTGTTAGTTACGTATGTCGAAACTCCCGCCAATTCTCCAGATTGTAAAATATTCGTGAACACAAAGAATCAACTTCCGTAACGGGTACATCAGAAGTTTCTAGGAAATGTGATTCGCCTATAAAAGCAACAGAGAACAAAGAAGAGACAGGTCTACTATGAAACTGTTATAACCGTGTAAGCT